AGAAAGAGAAGAGACAGAGAGAACAATTAATCAATGGAACAACTTGCCTCCAGAAGTTGTGAATGCTCCAACATTGGAAGTTTTAAAGAAGATGTTGGACATTTGTCTGAAGTAGTGTAAGGTTTCCTGCCTGAGCAGGGGGTTGGACTAGAAGACCTCCAAGATCCCTTCCAACTCTCTTCTTCTATTCTATTCTAAATGGCAGTTATGGTTGCAAAAGCCCAACATTAAGACAAACCCCTAGATGGGAAAAAGCAGAGGTATTTAACGTCTGGAAGCTTTCTTGAATACATGCTAATCGATACCAATATGTTATGGTTTGGGGGAATGATGTGCAGGAATTGGATTTTAAAAAGTTGCTGCTCAGATAAGAGGCCTCAGCCGGATAATGGGAAGAGCAAGAAGCTCGGGAGTGACACCCCCCCCCCCCATCCCTAAATTCGCAAAGTCTTGCTAATGTAGATTTTACAGCAAACTGGAATTGGATGATTTGGTCCGGCTTCTTGCGTGGTCAGTGTGGGTAAGACAAATGCTGTTATCTAAAAACTAAAGGCACAGATGTTATCCCGAGAGACTCCGCAGGCCACTATCAAAAAAAACCTTTGATTCAGCCCGAAATCTGCTTTGTCTATTGTGAAAGTCCCTTCTCGTGCGCGCGTGTGTGTGTGTGTTAAAATGCCCCAAATCTTGGGACCTTGGCAACAAGTCGGGATATATGAGTGCGTTAAACCTCCGAAAGTTCATTGAGAAGAGTATCGGCTGTTTGCTAATGCTTGATTGTGGTTTGTTAATCGGGCGCTTAAGTTTAAGAACAGCCTGGATCAGGTTGAAAAGGATGAGCCAGCTGCTTCTCTTTTATAATTAAGCAGCTGGTTTGTTTGCAGTAAAACCTGCGAGGGGAATCAGATCTGTTTCTCTGCCTAATCCTCCCCTCTATGCAGGTGGTCCTTGTTTAGTTCCAACAGCACTGAAAAAAGTGACTTGCGACTCCCTTTATCGGGCTTATACAACCGTTGCAGCTTTCCCCCGGCCCCGTGATCAAAATCTGGACACTAGGCAACCGATTCGTGTCTACGACGGTGCTGCAACAGATATAAGTTTGAAAAAGTCACTTTTTTTCAGGCCCATGGCAACACCAGCGGGCTGTTGCAAGTCGAGGGCTGCCTGTACAAAGGTGCCTCGTTCCTAAGCGGGGCAGTTGAGTGAGTTTCACACCCCTTTTACGGCCTTCCTTGCCACGGTCGTTAAGCGAATTGCTGCCGTTGTCGGGCGAGTCCCACGGATGTTAAGGGAATCGGGCTTCCCCATTGACGTTGCTGGTCAGAAGGTCGCAAAAGGGGATCGCGTCGTAAATATGAGCCAGTTGCCAAGCCTCTGAATTTCGATCGGGCAGTCATAAGTGTGCGAAATGGTCGTAAGTCCCTTTTACCAGTGCTGTCGTAAACAAATTGTTGTGAGTCCACTACCTGTGCTTCCTTTCTCTTGACGAGGGATGTTATTTCTGTCTCTTCCACAGTTGGGATTTGGGGTGCCAATTCTGCCGCCTCCCGATCTCCCATGGCGCTGAAGGCAGAGGCTCCCTTGACGGACTACGCTGAGGTCTCCCGCTTCAGGGAGAAGGAGAAGATGGCTGCTGATTATCGACTCCTGCGCCGCTCTTCAGGGAGGCAGGAGGCAGCCCTTGTAAACCCCATGGACAAAGGTGGGGGATTTTCCTCACAAGCAGGGTGCGTGGGCGGCACTGGGCAAACAGTGGGAACTCAACTCAGCAGGGGCGTCCGGAGTCCCGGGCAGAGACAAGACTCAGGGTTAAAATAAGGTGGTGTTCTCTGAGCTTAGATGTTTTCTTGCAGGCGTTTCATGACCCAACTAGGTATCATCATCAGTGCTAGAAGCACCGTTTGCAGCAAACCTGTTCTGAGTGAGGCTTCCCGAGAGCATGAAGCCAACTCCTGGTCCTGACAAAAAAAACCTTTTATTCAATTCTGCTCATTCACATCTAGCAAAGTCTTTCAAAGGAGGATTTACAGTCACAGACCTTATCTGGCTTGGAAAGCTGCCAGGCCGATCTCTGCAAAACTTGACAAGAAGTCTTGGGAGAGTCACGAACTAATGAAGCAAACTAATTGCCTCCTGCAAACCCCACTCCCCTTTCACTCCTCTTTTATTTCCATTCATCATCCACCTGTGGCCTTTCTCCCAAGTTGACCCCTGTTCTTTAGCTGTTCCCTTCGTCTG